CCCCCCCCCCCCCCCCTTGCCGGCACCAAGGTCGAGGCAAGAGGCCGAATTGATTCCACCTCAAACGTGAAACCGCCCTTAAGGTTTATTACGCTCATTCATATTGCACGCCGTGTTCTTGGTTTCCCCCGTCAGGGTCTTGCAGCCCCCAAATTGGCTGGCCCAGTGGCACTGCGGCGTCAGAGTGGAGTCCAATAAGAAGCTCGTGGGCTTCATCGCCGCCGTCCCTGCAGATGTGCACGTATATGACACGTAAGTTTGAGCGGCGGCGGGTTTTCGGAGGCGTCTGCGAAAGTTGAAAACGTCGCTCTGCAGGGTGAAGCGGATGGCGCAGATCAAATTTCTGTGCGTGCATAAGAAGCTGCGCCTCAAGCGAATGACCCCGGTTCTGATCCGCGAGCTCGCCAGACGCGTCCGGCGGCAGGGCGTCGGCCAGGCGGCGTACACGGCGTCCGTGGTGCTGCCGACGCCACTCAGCTCCTGCAGGTACCCGCTCGCTACCATTGATTGCTCCTTTGAAATGAAGGCGACTGCCGTCCGCTGAGATGCTGCGAGCTTAATTAGCCGGCACAAAATGGAAAATGCCATTGAGAGGCTCACGCTAAGATGCGACTGATGTTGGAAGCCGATATCACAATACTCGCAGGCACGTATTCCTTATCCTCTGCAAAGAACGACTGGTCGTGTCATGGCTGACTGAGTCACAGGCGTTGTTTTTCTCCGTTTGTGCGTCCATGACTGTATTGTGCTGGCGGCCAAGGCGGGCGCAGCGCAGGTTGCGGCCCGACAAAGGGAATTCCAACACTGCTTTCGAAGGCGCCAGCTTGCGTTTGTTTTGCTTGCGAATGTGGAGACGGGCTCCGGCTGCTCTGCCGCGAACAGGAAATTGGGACGGTGCCGTTTTTTTCAAGGTCACTCAAACAAACTGCGCATCAAAACGATCCAGAATGATTTGGTTGATTGGTGTCAACCGCTGAGTGGAATCTCAAATGAGAGCTTGCCTTGCGCGAGCCCCGCACTCGGGTGACTTCACCTCCCGAAGAAACGGTCCTTGCCACACTCGGCCGGTCGAGGAAGCTTTTTCGATCCCGATTCTGATCCTCACCTCAGATTGCACCATCGCCCGCTGAACCTCCGCAAGCTGCTGGAGGTCCAGTATCCGGGGATCCGAGGAGACATGCCCCCGCAGAGAGCCCTCAAATTCTACCGCCTCCCAGAAGTTGGTGCATGCTGCCCCCCGGAGGCGGCCACTTTTAAGCGCCTTTAAAGTTTTTTTTGGGGGGGAAGGGGGGTTTGCCTGGGGAATTCTATTCCCCGCCATGTTCATTGTCTTCCAGAACACCAAGACGGCAGGTTTGCGCCCCATGACCAAAGACCACATTGAGAGGGTGCGTCGGCTTCTCCAAGCGAACCTCAGCAAGTTCCACCTCAAGGCCGGCTGGTCCCGAGAGGAAGTGGCGCACTGGCTCTTGCCCAGGGAGGATGTGATTGACACCTACGTGGTCGAGGTTCGTCGGCATCGCTGTTTGGAAGTATTCGTCGCACCGATCAAGCGGTGGCCTCGGTCCCCGTCATAACATCGAGAGGACTTCCTCGCGCTCGCAGGCCGACGACGGCGCGCTGACCGGAGTGGTGAGCTTCTACGGGATCTCCTCCAAGGTGCTCAACCACCGGCTCCACGGCAGCGTGAGAGCGGCTCACCTTTTCTATGCCACGTCAGCTGCTGGCGGCGACCTTGTCCAGCTCGCGGAGGACGCGCTGGTCCTGCTCAAATCTGTGAGTGGCTCACTTGTTGAGGAAGTTATGAGCTTGCCCGCAACTTTGATTGAGCCGAGACGCATGTTTTCAGTGTTGTGTTGAAAAGGCTTTTTTTTTTTGAAACCTCTTCTGACAGAAAGGATTTGACATCGTCATTGCTGCCGATGTGATGGATAACAATCGTTTCCTGGAGCAGCTCAAGTTCAGTTTCAGCGGCAAGTGGCTTCATTACTACTTGTACAACTGGAGGTGTCCCACACTGAGTTCGGACAAGGTATGCTGCAAAGAAAACAAAAGGAGTGAAAACGGTCGCCGCGTTTCCAGGGATGCAAAAACAAGAAAAAAGATGGATGAATGTTGATCCGAAATACCTGCCGCGGAAGACGACAGATAAAAGACGAGAAATGATGTGCCGTCTAATGTTATATCATTTTTCTATATTTGGTCATTTGGCATGAAATGTGAAACTCCTAACGACGTACTTTTTTTTTTCCCCAGGTGGGCATGGTGTTACCCAACTAACCGATTAAAATGGAGGATCCCGAGTGAGCAATACGAAGCTGCAAAGGCAAGAACGTGCGTGTGCGGTCGTGTCATCTGGCGTTCTCCAAACGCAGCGAGTCATAAAAGCAAACAAAGATCAAATTCCTTTCGTGAAAATATTTGTCATGAAATATTGTTTATTTGTCGGCGTCGGCATTGTGTGTGACGACAGTGAAGGATTACAATTGGCGCGGCAGCAAATTGAATAAACACAATAAGCATTTCTGTTTGTGTGCATGTGTGTGTGTGTGTGTGTGTTTGTGGGCTTCAGTTGAATTCACACAATCTCTGATGCAAGCAGTGCATGCATTTGATAAGAGGACGCGATCATTAATCATCCTACCCATTTCACACAGTCTCAACGATGGTGCACAAAGCAAATGAACGTAATTTCATGTAGGCAAGAAATGATGGCACACCAATTCCAATGTTGTTTCTGAAAATGTACCGTACGTAGCGGGTGAATTCAATATTTATTTATGTATTTATTTTACCAAGGTCATTTGAGTTTTTGTGAATCCAAAATGAGACTCGGTGCAGGGTGTACGTTGTGGTGCAACTTTTTTTGCAGTGTGCAAACACCTCCTCAAAGAAAACAGCAGTGGTCGCTGTGACCTCACATTCAACCAATGTTGGGTTTTTTTTTTTTTTTGTTGTTATTGTTGTTCTCCACTAGCAGCCTGAGCCGCATTAGCCACATGACCTGTTTAGCACGTTTTGTTTTGTTTTTTTCAGAGCACCAGACACAATCAAATGTCACGTATGTCTGAAAAACGAGTCCGACAATTGCGCTCTCGGGCTAAAGTACACTTCATTCAAAAATCGTCATGTAAATGTCTTTGCAAAGGTAAGAATTTATATCCACCACTCACTTCTTTTTTTTTTTGTAAATTGTTCGCACACAACATGAATTTCAGTGATAATGGGCATCCAGTCAGTTAGCGAGCCTGTAACACTTGGCTTAATATTAAAATTCAAAAAGGACAGTCGTACTATTTTGAGTCGAGCCTGTAACACTTGGCTTAATATTAAAATTCAACTTACTATTTTGAGCACCTGAAACATTTCGAAAGAAATGGCAGCTAACGCCGACCTAACAAAATAAACAGTGACCAACAGTTAAATGGAGCGCAGACTAGAAATTGCTGTCGTTTTTTGCTTTGTTTGTTTTCATCAAATATTACGTTTCTACCAAGTGTGTGTGTTGTTGTGTTTCCGCTTTTACATTTACATCCATTTGTAATGTTTTCAATATTTTCTCTATCTATTTGTGCTCGATGAGCAGATGTTATCGTTTGCCCCGAATGTAATTTTGCTTTTGTTTTGTACTGAGAAGGAAATCAATCATCTTGAGACCGACGCTCGTTAGCAACATTTCCGGGTGTTCCCGAATGCAACACGGCCCCCCCTCCGGCGGTTGTGAGCCAATCAGAAGCGAGAAAGCGATTTCTGTTGGAGATGACCGCAAAACTGCCGAGCGACCGTCTGCCGCCTCTCGCTGCCTCTCGCTCGCTTCTCGACGTCGGCACCGCACGGAGCAACAGGGTCTCACCTCCGCTCCGGTGAGGGGCGCAACAAAAACTCTTGCTTTTCGACTTATTTGAAGAAAGCTTGTTTTTCTCATTTGTATTGTTTCGATCAGACAGTCAGTCGCGTGGTGGCCAAACGGACCGCCCTTCATAGAGTAGCTCGCTGGTCAACGTTTGCATTTTTTTTTAAGTTTGCTTTTAAAGTTACATTTTGAACACATAACCTTCCGAGTAATGTGTCAGCTGGCGTGTTTTGTCTGACAGCTCCCACATACACAGGCGGCGAGCGACCTTCATTGCAGGTATGTTACCGATCATTTGTGGTGTCTTCACAGTAACGAGTAATGGGCACGTCACTACATTTTCTGTCGTCGTTGTCTTGTGGTGGAAGATTCGCGTGAAAACGCTGCAATTCCCTGACTCAACCAGTTGCAATAGTTTCCTTCCTTAATCAGCATTCTCTCGGCGTTCCGGTCGTTCGCTCGGTCGGATGCCTTGTACCGTAATCTCCCGTGTAATACGCAACACTGAATTTCGACTTGCTCAGAGTGACGTCCGTTTGGCTTTTTGTCCATCCTTAATGGGTCGTTGCAAAGCCACCCTGTTGAAAAAGATTTTGCCGTGTGGTGCTTGTATCTCTTTTGCACGATCCCTTGGTAGTCCTTCTTTGAGAATGCAGTCTTGGGGGGGGGGGCGGTAAACACCTGTAAAAACAAAGAACTCCTATGGGGAGGAAGAGTTTGCAGAAGTCTTTTTTCAGCACGGCAGTTAGAAATCCAAACCATGTTTACTTGAGAGATAGTCTACTGGGACTGTCAACGTATGCATTCGTATGACCGTTGACGGCGATGCCACTTTCTGCTCCATGATATAGCGAGGATGGGCTCCAGATGTGACATTTTGGGGCGGGGTTTTAAAGATGTCAATCAATACAGTGCGACCTTCACCTGTAAGTTGCCTGACTTAAAAAAAAAAATAGAGAGACCGTGGACTGTTCACTGGAATGCGCGTTTAAATTCAAAGCCGGCGAGTTTCGTAGTTTGACCGCTTTCCCGGACATGGCCGAGCTCTGGCGTCAAACGGCATAATTACACGGAAACAAGGATGTTGCTTTGCTGAGCGTCATCCGAATGCGGCGTCGAGGAGCAGTTGAGTTGGTCTGGAATGAAGCGCGCTCCTCTTCATCCTTGCATCCTTGAGCCGGAAGCGGTGTGCCTTTCCGCCGGCTTCTCGCGGCCCTTGATTTGTGTGTCAACGCGTCGTGCCCTCGTGCGTCCGTGCGCGCGCGCGCTCTCGTGTTCCCGTACGGCACATTAAATGGCTCCGCTCAAGGCAGCAAACAGAAGGCCGGAAACCGAGGACAAAGAAGCCAGTCTGGATAGAAATAGAGCAAATCACACACAACGCTCGCAGCGCCATTGACTTGGCATGACCGTATTTTGCCCAACAGATGTTTTGCCTCCATTGTTGTCCGCTGAAAGAACACAAAATCAAATCAGCACCTCGTATAAAGGCTGCCATTCCTCCACCAGGAAAGAAAATAACAGGTGGCGCCACCCAACTGTTGTTGTGGTACATGGCACAGTTATTGTGGTGGTCTTTGGCAAGTGGAAGTGAACGGCTTGGAAACGAAGGAGCAACCCTTTCGACTTGGAATGGCTCCAAAGTACATCGAATGAGGCTTTAAAGTCCTGAAAAATGGAGCCGGTCTCTCACTTCTCAAATGCTGCGAGGGAGCTGAAACCTGAAACCAAACACCGCTGCTACGACCTGGAAAAAGGAAAGCCGCTTTGGCTTTTTCTCCCCTATGCGCATACGTCCAAATGTTGGAGCTTGAAAGTCGATTCGAATCATCCGAGTTGTTGCGGTGCCCCGCGACAACGAGGCACTCTCAAGCGGCCACACCAGCGGAAAGACCTTTTCCACATGCTGGCAGTCGCGTTGGACCCCCGCCCCAAAAAAAAGCAGGTCAGTGGCGTTTTGATGAGGAGAAAGCCGAGCGCGGGCCCGATTAACCGGGGCCTCGTTGTGTCAACCGGCTTACGGCCGACCGGCTTCGTTCGGCGGGAGTTCTGGTAAAACGGCTTTGGGGGAGTACGAGTACAGAGCGGTGGATTAGTCTACTAGGGCCCTGTTTTACCTGACCCCCCCCCCCCCTTCCTGTCCTGCGACATCACGCTCGACCCGCATGGCACCCTGGAGACACAAAGCCGTCACATCCACCCCCACAAAGGCCCGTTCTCTTCGGCCTACTTCCCGTCTCCTTTCCCGGCACGGGGTGGACAGTATACACACCCTTTCGCCGCCCCCCCCCCCATTTTATTTATTTAATTGGGGGGGGTCCTCCTCCCCCTCCTCCTGCCACTGCAACCCCTGCTGCCTGCCTTTTTGCTCTCACTCCAAGCCAGGGGAGAGCTGAGTCATGTGCTTGCGTGCGATTTGGAGCAACACCCTTTTCAAGCATTCTATTGGGGCGCTCACATTTCAGCGGGGCCGAGCGTTCCGGCCCACGTCTGTGATTAAAAGCGAGCAGGTCGGATCCTTGGAGCACCGTACGTGCTTAGCCGTCGTTTTTTAACGCAAAGCGCATCGGTCCCTCGGCGGGAGGCCGATTGTTGTTTGAAGGCGGCTTGAAAACGCCGGCACGAGTCCACCGCCCTGCTGGTATATTCCATCGCTTGAAGAGCTTGTCTGGGAGACGGCTTTTTTCGCGTCGCCCAAGAGTTTACTCTGCATTCTGCAATTTATGGCTTTTGCCCCACAAGTCCCAGGCGCGACCCTCTCTCTCTCTCTCTCTCTCTCTCTCTCTCTCTCTCTCTCTCTCTCTCTCTCTCGTTTCGCTCCTCTCCACGCACTGTCGTTTGTTTTCCCCAGCAAAAGGAAGTTTCCATTTTGCTGGGGAAGAATGTGTCAGGACCTGACCGCATCCTCTCTTTTTGGCACCGCACCCCCCAAAGCCTCGACGGCGTTTGCCGGAAGATCCTTGGGACGCCCTGAGATTTTTGTTGGCCTGACAAGAAATAGCGTTGAGGTCTCGTTTGGAAACGTCCTTGCCGGTGCACCTTTTGCAAGTGGAATGCGGCCGACGCATTTCAGAAATCCGACGCTCGGCAACGAGTCCGCAGACCTCTTCAAGCATTGCTCATTAGAGGAACAACACCTGGGATGGTGATACCAACCATAGCCAAGATCGTTTTTTTTTTTTTTTTTCCTCCGAAGAAACCACAGTTTACGAGTGGGCGTCACCGGCATTCCTTGCGGCCTGTCGGCCGGGTGGGCCTTTGTGGATGCAACTGCAACACCCCGGACGCAGCAGCCGCCCAACCTGGTTCCAAAGTCGCGCCTTTCCTTTTCAACTCCGGTCCCGCGGCCCGAGCGGCATCGACACCTGAGCCGAAGTAACCCAACGGCGCCGCGGTTCGCTCGCCTCTTATCCTCTCATCTGAAATTCTTGTCAACCTGTTGCGTCTTGCTGTGTCGGCGCCGCGTTCTTCATGTTGCGTTCCTTGGCCTCAAACTCAAATCGTTTTGGAAAGAACTTCCAAGCGCACATCCGTCGGTCGCAGCCGCGCAAGCCTTTCGCGTTTCCTTTTCGGCGTCCCTCTTGGAAGAGGCCTCCGGACATTTCCCCACTTCTCAAGCCTGACGTTTCCCGATGAAAGGAAATGGCGTCCGTGGCGCAGTCGGGAAGCCATCGTCCTCCCGCCGCCAGAAACAAGTCCCCGGTGGGCAAGACGAAGTCGGAAGAGCGGCAACCCAAGATTCCGCTCGGTCGCGTGCCCTCGAGGAACAGAAATACCAATTTGCCGGTCAAACCGGTCTAGCCGCATAGCGAGGTTGTGAAAGCCCAGTCGGGCAACTGACGCCGTTGTCACCGGCGGGTCCCGCTTTTGGATTTTGGTATGACTCGCTTTTGGTGGCAGCTGCGTCAAAGAACGACAGCGCACGCCTTCCCAAAGCGAGTCGCGTCGCCGACGTTTTGGCCGCCCTCGCTCTCCTGCCTTTGGTGTGCCCTTTTGCGCTCCTTTTTTAGGGAGCCGTCTTCGGTGGCTTATGTAAGCCGGTGCCTACGCCTGAAATCGACGTTCAGCCCGGGGAGCCTTTTTTTTTTTGCCTTCTTAAGGCAATTGGCCAGCATACGAGTGACATGTGAGGAAAGCGTTCCAAAAAGTGAGCAAAAGAAGTCTGCTTCATTTGAGATTTGTTTGCTCGTTTTCGCCACGCCAGCCGAGCTCAGCGCCGAAACCATATTTGGTGGTGAAACAATGACCGAAAAAAGTGTCAGCGTGTTGCTCTTTAGGACCCGCGCAAAAGCCGCTTTTACGCAGCGGGGCTCCTGACGAACGCTTTGCACTGCCGCGCGTCATGTTTTTGGGATTTGGATTCTTTGGGGTGCGTCAGCGCAAACGTTGGCTGCGCCCCAATTTTCAACACCGCCGTTGTATCAGGGTCACTCCTCTTTCTTACTTTTTCGGAAATAGTGACTGGTCAACGATGACCTCCAAATGTGGTGGGTGCACCTGGGCCTGCCCCGACAACATGTATATGATGATACAGCGGTAGTCAGAGTCCTCTTCCACCCCGTCGAAAGGCCGCTCGCTGTCATTGTTTGTCAGGTACTGACGCTGATTGAAGCCAGACGAGGCCCACTTCTCCCACTCTGTCCGACAAGTTAAAAAAATCACATTGGATGCCAGATGTGGCCGCCTTGCGCGTTGAATTCCGCGTTTGGCCGCAGGCTCGCGTCGCCAACGCGCTTGGTGAATCCCAAATCGACTGTTGCTCTCGCACATTGCAATTTTGCACCAAGTCAGCGTGAAAGCGGCTCGGCTTTATCCTGGCTGTGTTTTGTCAAGTGGGGGAGGATTCCAAGAGGTCAGGGTGAAACGCATTTCAGAGCTTTATTGCTCTTGGGAGAGAGCGAAAGCCGATTCTGGCTTGTTTTCACTGCCCCGACAGGTGGCCAGGAGTCAGCGCGAGGGCCCGTGAGATTTCTTCAAGCTCCACTTGTGTCACAACAGAAAATGTTCTGGGGCTAAGCTCATGGATTCCACTTCATGAGCACGCTCAAGTCTTTGCGACCCCCCCGTGTGCGCTGACCTCTCATTCCCTCAGCCGCTCTCACGGCTAACGCTGCGCAGGCCTCATTGAG